TTCCATTTAATTCTATGTATTTACTCAGGATACTTTATATTCTAAGGTAAAGACCTACAACAATACAGAGGACGAAAGACGATCTAGGTGAGGAGAACAATTTTAAATTTGATCTTGGATGTAACTGGGAGCCAGTGAATAGAACCAATATGGGATAATATACTCTCTCTGTCTAGTTCCTGTTAGTAACCTTGCTTTTAGAACAACCTGACAATAATGAATAATAATAGCACAGTGCAGAAGTAATAAATGCATGGACTAGTTTTTCACTCTGAAACAGGAAGTTTCTGTTTTTAGATGTTGCACAAATGCAACAAAGCAGTCTTACATGTTTGTTTAATATGTGTGTTGAAGGACATGTCCTGGTCAACAATGACTCCAAGGTTCCTCACAGCGTTACTGGAGGCCAAGGTAATGCCATCCAGAGTAAGAATCTGCTTAGAGACCATAGACATGTTGATTATATTTAATTTAAGCATTAATTAATGGTAGGACATTTTTCGACAGTCTTGTCAGAGTCTAGACGTGCTGATGGTCCAGAGGAAGAAATTATTTAAGTTAACTCAGAAACATCAATTGGAGAAATCTGAATACAGCGGAACCCCGACTTACGAAATTAATTCGTTCATATGTCCAAAACTTTTGTAAGTCGAAGCACCCATCGCACGTTTTGAGTGAGGCGATGCTGAACGATAGGCTATAGGCTAATTGCTAACTAGAACAACAATACGTCGTTCAAGTGGAACAGCGAAGCGCAAGTATGGAAGCCAAGGGGTTGTCACATGATTCGGAAGGCATTGTACGGTAGGCTCAGCCAATCAGAGCCAGCGGATTTCGTTACTCGGGCATTTTGCTGTAACACGGGCACAAATAATTAAAAATTATAATACAAATGAAGTTTTAAGAGATATAGTAAAATATTTCTATGCCATATGTCAGAACAAGTTCCAGAGGGCGATGAAAGCGGTGGCTGGGCTGATTTATATGCTTCTGCGTGGATGTTAAAAAACACAGAGCTCCAATATGCCCGATGAGGACAGAAAACCCTAAAAACAGCAACATCTGTTCACTAGGTAAATTAGCTGAAATTATTTCAAGGCCTATCTCCAACCATATGTGCAGTCTCTAAGTCATGTGGCATGTCATTAGTTGTTTTGATTTTACTGACAAATTGGCAGATCAAAAATGGCAAATGTCGCGCTAGTTCCCAGTTTTCAAGATTGTTGCCACTCCACTAGCAAATACTTTGCTTCCATTGAGTCATCAAACACTTCACAAAGTCAGTCTTACTCCCTCTGGTTTAGATCCAACACTCTTTAGAAGTAAGCCAGTTTTCTCTTAGAGGGATGTTAGTTTTTACCCTCTGGCACAAGTGTTTTTTAGTCAGTTTTGAGAGTAAATGAGTACATACAAAAGTATCGACACACAAAAATGACAGGTCATTTCTATCTTCTTGTGCAGCTGTATAGTGTACTAATAATGCACGACTGCCACAACCATTTGGGAACCACTGATTTAAGGACAAAACTTTTTAGTGAATGTGCTTCCTGATGGCAAGAAACTTGCAGCTGTGAAACGTGGTCGGTTCCAAGTCTGATTTAGAAAATGTTCTCATTCTTCATTATATCCTGGTTGAAATATCTGACTGTTTAAAGGCCACGGTGCTAAAAACAGTTAAACCCGGCAGTGCCATTTCAGACTGTAAACAACATTAATAATCTTATCAGCACAGCAACTCGCTGAGTCACAATGTGCCAGAGGAACCATCCCATCTCTTGAATAACCGGTTTCAGCTTTTGCTTTCAGGATGTGTCAGGATGTAAGTATGTAAAGAAAACACATCCACAAATAAAGACCAATTCTCTATCAAATGGTTGAGTCAGGGCATACCAGACCAGCCCTCGTAGTTTTTACTTTAGCATTGTTTTATATGGACAACTCTCATTAATAACAATTAATAATTTAACTAACAATCTAACATTTATGTTTGTTGCTGCCGCTTTAAAGATGAATATAGTTACTTAGTTTGTGAAGTCCAGTCTTGAAGGCTTGATTTTTACATGTCAGTGTTCTGAAACCGGAAGACGATAACTGGGTGAGAGGGTGGAGAGTTAAAAGCAACCTTGCTTTGTAAGGAGAATCCATAATGTGCTTAACTACACAGCACAGATACAGATGCCAGCTAATTAGTGCTTAATCTAATAAAATAGAGTGCAACATATTAAACAAATAGGCCAGAGTGCTTTCTTCCATTTGCGCAACATCTCTAAAGTTAGAAATATCCTGTCTCAGAGTGACGCTGCAAAACTAGTTCATGCATTTATTACTTCCAGGCTGGACGACTGTTATTCATTATAATCAGGAAGTCCTTCTGAAAAGCCTTCAGCTAATCCAAAATGCTGCAGCAAGAGTCCTGACAGGGACTAGAAAGAGAGAGCAGATTTCTCCTGTACTGGCTTCCTTTCATTGGCTCCCTGTTAAATACAAGGTCTTAATCAGGCCCCATCTTATCTTAATGACCTTATAGTACTATCCTCAAAAGTTGATTCTGTTCATCTGGACGTAGTGTTGTAAGATTGTAAAATGGCGAAAGATGCACCCTCAGGCTCTAATCGAAGAGGGGGCCTGAGGGTGCATCTGTCATCATCTTACAATGCTGTGATTGCAGCCATTCCTCAACTCTCTGTGAATGGTATTCTTGGCCATTGATCAATGAACTTTGATCAGTGGTTGTTGATCAATGGTAATGAGAATTTGTATATTAATGATCAAGGAACTGACCTCCCAGCCCATTGTTCCCTCAGTGGGCTGGTTTCAGTCATTATGCAAATGTCCTGTTTATAAGATTGCACTGATAAAGACACAAGTATCAGTGCATCATTTTAGAGGCTGATTTAAGAAACACACTCAGCACTGGCTCAGAGCACAGTTTGATTATTGTGTGCTAACTGCAGCTGTGATATCTTCCTCCCACAGTGGGTGGAGAGTGGTTATTCCACACAGTGGTGCTATGAGAACTTCATCCAGTTCCGCTCCATGCGAAGAGCCCGGGATGTCAGGGACCAGCTGGAGGGTCTGATGGATCGCATTGAAGTCGAGGTGGTCAGCTGTCAAGGAGACAGCGTGCCCGTTCGCAAGGTTAGTGACACTGATGAACTACAGTACAGCGTTAGCTGTTCCCAGGCAACAATGTGGAGTCTTATTATCAGTCACTTCATATTAATAAGGAACTACAGCTAGTCCCACTCTGGGCTTTAGCTTCATCTGACAGCTGCAGCACTGCTGAGTGAGGCCTTTTTGAGATGGAAACACAGATTGAGATTGAGCATAACTTTGCAAACAAAGACTTGTCTTATCTGCCACGCTCTGGGAAAATAATACCAGTGATATTTATAGCTTGTACAGACCCTAAGGACCCCAAAGCACTTTACACATCCAGTCATCACACACTGGTGATGGCAAGCTACATTGTAGCCACAGCCACCCTGGGGCGCACTGACAGAGGCGAGGCTGCCGGACACTGGCGCCACCGGGCCCTCTGACCACCACCAGTAGGCAACGGGTGAAGTGTCTTGCCCAAGGACACAACGACCGAGACTGTCCAAGCCGGGGCTCGAACCGGCAACCTTCCGATTACAAGGCGAACTCCTCAACTCTGAGCCACGATCGTAATCATTGTAATGATTACAGGATGTCAGACTACTTGTTCATAGCTTAATAATGTAGAATTATCATAGAAATAAAAAAAACCGAAGTTGTGCTATTTGAAACCTTGCCTGCCTGCAGCACTAAAGGACTCCGTGAGAACAGTCTGTCTCCCCTAGCAGCACCTGTCCTTCTCCTCCTCTTCAGTTCGCCTCAACATAAGCTCGTCATATTCTGTGATATGATTTACTCTGAGGTGTTTGACGAGGTTAGTGGTGTTGCCACAGCTTGACTGATCGCAAACCACGTCTCGGCCGTTTGTGGAGGTAAAATACGTCCACACATGACTCCGTTACGCTCGCCATTGTTGTGAGTGTCGCACGCCAGGGCTGCGACACATTTATACATTTATATTTCGCATATGACTGTGAAAGGCGTAAGAGGAAGTAGTTCCTTCCAATTTTTCTTTCCACTGTGTTCCTGTTAATGAAAAACTACAAATTTACCCCAAAGTACTAAAATATCGATATTTTAATATGAGAATCGATTCTAGAATATAAATTACTGGTATCGGAAGAATTCGATATTTCAATATCGATCCGCACACCACTAAAAGGCCAACACAGGCAGTCATATCAGTATTTTAGAATGTTTCCATCCTGCTGGTCAGAAACTTCAGGTCATGAAATAAATGCACAGAACAAAGATTTTAAAATGAAAATATCAGCAGGTGAATTCATGCCTCAGATTAACACACTGTAACTGGTTAATGCAGGTAAATTGTTACGATATAAATATATGAACTAAATGTGCAGAGGCTAAAGAAAGCCTGTTTCACTGTGATTGGTTTGTATCCAGAAACACAGACATATAAAAATGAGCAAAAATTAATGAAGACAAAATATTATAAATGGACTCAAACCTTCAAGACCTGCATATACTGAACCACAAAACGGTTTTTTTTAATTTTGTGAGATTTTTGGATCCAACAGAAAATTTACCAGGATATTGTTTGTTTTAAACGTTGTACTTTTTCATGTGTGTCTGTGTGAATTTGGACATTACAGGATGGCTGCTGTGTTGCGGAGGATTATTCCTCACACACTACCCAACCCTGTTGCTGGTCACGTGCTCTATAATGTTGTGCTGTGGACATTTCTGTGCTTTCTGTGCAGAGGACTTTTTTTTGTTTCCTGTTGTCATGCTGTCCTCCCATAGAAGCCCAGCATGAGCAGAGGTCTCTTTTTTTCCTCTTGTACTTTCCCATTGTAGTGGTACATTCAGTGTTTTTCTGTAATGCAACCGTTCTCTGACTTGTATCCCCATGTGATGTCTGTGTCTGTGTGTGTAAGGTCGGGGGCGGGTTCATTCCACTGCAGGGCAACCTGCCACTGCATGTGGCAAATAAAATTTGAACTTGAACTTGAACTACACTGGTGCGCTTGCCTCATTGTTACCGATTTACTGTTAGAGTAAAAATAAATAAATATATTGTTTAAAAAAAGTTTAGTACAGCTTTTGTCCGTTAGAGGGCGGAAATAGGAACTCTATCTCTGCCGAACTGCTTTATATCGTTGACTATTCACCAAACGGAGTACAGAGTTAGAAGTGTGAATAATGTCCCAATCCAGTAGGGGGCAGCAGATGTAGCAGCACCATTACACAAGTGAGTGTTGCAGCATTCATTGGTGAAGGTGAAGTTGAGTCCCAGCGCGTATTTTTCACCCGTGATTCCGCACAGGGAGGGCAGGACGCAGCTCTTCTCGTACAAAACCACACGGAAGTCCCCTGAAAGAAAGAAGCAAATCACACTGACACACTCCTCCCCGAGCCGGGCGCTGACCTTTCTCGCTTCTTTTTCTCAGTTTTGATTCATTTAAATTTGACTTTCAGTGACTCGAGTTGAACTCACCTTTCTCACCCACGGCTCGGCTGGACAGACAGAGCTGCCCAGGTGGACACTTCAGGGGGAATCTGATGCAGTCCAGAGGGGAGATGGTGGGGAACACACAGGTGTAACAGAAGAGGGGAACTGAAGTACAGATGTGAGTTTTGCATGTGAGCCACAGTAAAAAAGTCAACTGAATCATAATAATCACAAAATACAAGGATGGTAAAAACGGATGTCTTTTAAACTGCTTTTAAAAATGTACTTCAAAATGATTAATCACCGAGATTAATCAGTGGTTAGAATATTTATTTGTTGCAGCCCTAATATGATGAAACACACTGCTTTATCTTTACCACTAACACGAATGTTAACCACTTCTTCTTTCAGCTGCTTCCTTTAGAGGTCACCATCTGCAGGTCCTCCTCCACTACATCACGCATCTTCTCTGAGGTCTTCCTCTTTTCCTCCTGTCTGGTATCAAACATCCTTTCTAAAACATATCCACCATCCCTTCTCTGCGCATGTCCAAACAAACTCAGGCTCGCCTCTTCTGATATATTAGCTTCTAATCCTGTCCGGTCACTCTCAGTGAAATCCTGCCTCGTGTCGTTTAATCAGTGCCACAGTCTCCAAACCATACGTCACAGCAGGTCTCACTACCGTCTTATAAACCTTCCCTTTTATTCTCACATGTATCCTTCTGTCTCACCTCCACCCACTCCACCCTGCGTGCACTCTCTTGTGCACTGTCTGTTAGCCTCAGCTATTTAAACTCTTCTATGTTAACTACCTCTGATTGCTAATGCACTTGGATATTTCTTATGGAACGGCATCATGTGACACAAAGAGGTTTTTTATATATACAAGTAATACAAAGATCAAACATATTCATTACTAAACAAAAATATTTCTGTATTTTAAAATAATTTTATTTAGGCAGTTTTATAAGGTGTAATGGTTCCAGTTTCCCAGTTACATCTTTATTCATCTCACATTAAAGCTACTTAAATAGTTCTTTTCCAAAAATTTCATACATCAAACAATGAGGGGAAAATACTAGATCTTAATTATGCAAGAAAATAAGGTTTTTTATATTAATGTTAACCTTGGAGTTTTCTGTCTGCTATAGCTGCATGGATTGTGCCTTTAAACACACGAGCAGAAGCATGCACACACCGTCTTTGCTGACTTACCCACAGCTGGAAGTAAACACAGGAGAAGCAGAGAGCTAAGCAGCTTCGACATCACTGATGTTTCTGTCTCACCAGGAGAAAATCCTCCTGCCGGTCGACGCTTCAGCTCTTAAAGGCGTTTCTTTCAGAATATTTTCTAGAATGAATCCGCTGTTTTCATCTTGAATTCAAGAAATCAAGTTGTTTTTTGTTTGTTCTTTTAATTTAAAGCTAAAGTTTTACAAACTAGCTTCACGCAGACGGAGCAGCCACAGAGATCTGAAGGTAAATCTCTTACTGGTTTCTCTTAATATTCCCTTAATCAACTCTGGGAGAATCTCCCACCCCACTCCTTATGATTAAATTAGACTGTTAGACTTCTGTTCCAAGCCATGGCTGCTTAGAAAAGGTCCATTCAGACTTAAGATAATCAATGGGGCTTTATGAAGAAAATCCACATCTGTGTAGCTTAAAATGTGGAAAAAGTGGAAAGTATTAAGCTTTCTTGAGGGTTTTTTTTCTATAGAATGATGTGACATGTGTCTGTACTGTGGTGAAGCAGGGCAGGTTTATTAAATCACATCTCATCTCCTAATGAAAGACGTTGAGTTTGGTGGGAGGGATGTCAAGTGACCTGCAGTCCCATGACGAGAAAAGTGATTAGAAGCAATGAACAGTCCCACAGTTTCAAACTGAACACAGGGTGATTTCATGTTTTTTCACAGTAAGATTTGTTCATAGTGTTTGCATTGAGATAATCTGCAGTATATGATTATTGTGTGTTAGATAAGATAATCGAATTACTCCATCTCTGGATACTTTTTCCTATTTCTGTTTTTCAGGCATACAAAAAGTTTTCTTTCAATTGTTGTTATTATTGTTATTTCAATAACAGATAGCCTAATTAGATCAGAATGAAAGTGTCTGTGTGTCTGTGGAGTGATACGCTGTCTTGAGAGAAACCCACAGAATTATACTGGTTTCAAACCCAGAGCTGAATTCTGTGGAGCTGCTGAAGATTTCATCCTAACTCTCTCCTACTGTACATCACAATTTCATTGCACATGTACAATGACAATAAAGGCTATTCTATTCTATCAGGCCAGACTGCAGAATAACAGCCTGCAGTATTTAGCATGCGATTCCTAAATGCTGCAGTTCTTTGAGTGTCCACTTGATGATGGCTCCAGATGCCTGTTGGTGCAAACAACAAACAGACATACCCCATGGTCTTTGATTTTGTATTTTAAGTGTCAAAGATGGTGTTTTGCTTCTCCCACCCCAACCAATCACAGCAGATGGCCCCGCCCCTCCCTGAGCCTGGTTCTGCCGGAGGTTTCTTCCTGTTAAAAGGGAGTTTTTCCTTCCCACTGTCGCCAAAGTGCTTGCTCATAGGGGGTCATATGATTGTTGGGCTTTTCTCTGTATCTACTGTACAATATAAAGCAGCCTTGAGGCGACTTTTGTTGTGATTTGGCGCTATATAAATAAAATTGAATTGAATTAATTGAACAGTGCTCATTTTTTTGGAGCCAGAAGTTGTCGTATTTAACAAGATGATGCAGTATGAGGCTATCAGCTCAGAGTTTGGTTAGAATATCCATCCACAGATCAGACGGCTCAGACACACTAGAATTTAAATCTGGAGAACAGGATTTTTGGATGGGCTGTACCAACAGAAGAGTCTGAGATTAACATGAAAAGTTATAATAATACTTCTCGGTGTAAAAAAACTATCTCATCATCTGCATGATGGTGATATGCAAATGATGATCAAGTCAAAACTCTAAACTGTATGCCTGTGATCGTTGGACCCTCAGGCAGCCCTGCATTAAAAACCAACATGATTCAGTCATGGAAACAACTGCATGGACTCAGCAACATTTCCAGAAATCACAGTCTTTGAACACAGCTCTCATCCCCAAAAGCAGGGTAATGCACAACCATGCAAAGAACTTCTCTGGGGAAAAAGCTCGTTAAAAGGCAAAGTGGAAAATTGTTCTGTGGACAAACTGAAATCTGAAATTCTTACTGGAAAACATGGACACTGTGTCCTCCGGACTGAGGACGAGAGGGACAATCTGACTTATTATCAGAACTCAGTGCTGGAGAGGCCTGCTTGCATTCCAGACTTTTCATCAACAGAAAACCTTTGAAGCATCATGAAACAAGAAATATAACTGTTAAGCAGCTAGAATCAGCTATCAGAGAAGAAAAGGACCAAAGGTCCAGCAGCTGCTCTCCCCAGACCCTGGACATTTAGGGACTGGATATAAAAGAAGAGGGGCCACAGGACACTGCCACACAATCTGTCCCAACTTTTGTGAGACGTGTTGCCACATCAAATTCAAAATGAGCTAATATTTCCAAAATTGTATATTTTCTAAGTTGAAACATGTAATGTTTTGGTTTATGAATAAAATGTGTTTTTTCTGAAATTTGCAGATCACTTGTGTATTAAATATCTATGATTATGTAATACAGTTCAACTAAAACTAAACAGCTTAGGAAAAAACATAAATAAGCCAAAGAAACAAGACTGTGCATGAACATTTTACCTTAAAGTGCATTTTCAAGCTGTTCTAATGTTCTTTAACCTGTAAATAGTTCCCATCATTAACTAAATTAGCATCACAGCGCCCCTTGCTGGAGGAAGGCGGGCATGGCTCGCTTGTCGACCTGCTGACGCCTCATGCGGACCACAGCTGCGTCCACCTGAGCTGCAGCTCTCTTGCCCTGCAGGTCATCCAGCAGCTGCAGACATGTGTGCTCCAGCTTCCCCAGCTCACCCTCAGAGGACTTAAGACATCGTCTGAGCGCTGCACCGCTCTGAGAGACACACAGGAAACACATTTCAAAATGATTTTGTTTGTCTGAGGCAAAATGAGAGGTTAGAGTGATAAACCACTTTGCTTTTTTAATACAAGTGAACACCAGCCACTGTACTCCATAATGATAATGATACGAATCCTGGTAAATGTTCAGTTTGTGTTTATTTTTAGTCGTATCTGACATGCAAAGCATTATTAAGCATAATTTTAAAGACTGAGCTGAAGAGTGAGACTGCTTCACGCCTATCGTTCTGCTTTGAGGTCACAATTTATTTTTGCAAACTTTAAAATGCATGAGGCAGAATTTAGAAACAAGTCTCAGCTTCGGTTTCTGCAGACAAACATGCAGATTAGTTTCTGCTGAGTTCAAGTGCAAACTAACATCACCCCAGAGCATTCAGCTCACCCTGTATTTGGCTCTTTTTTTTCTTTGTACAAATGTGTATTAAATATTTATCCATCAGTAATCAGCAAAGTTATTAAATGTTACCAGAATATAAAAAAGAAAACATGATTGGAAATATTAAAGCTGCAGATTAATTGTGTTCAATTTATCACTGGTTCAGTGTCCATGTTGACACACCTGCAGCAGAGTCTGTTAGCTTAGTCGTTTCAGCACAAAAGGTCCAGCTGGCTTAGAGTACACTCCCAGCTTAGCATCACAGTGCAAACACACACATGTAACCTCAGCAGTCAGAGACTCAGATACCTGACATCAGGACGAGGTGAAGGCCAAAACACACTTCATGAAGTATGATAATGAATGTGGCAGCCGAATGTGTGTCGGACGCACCTGAATGAGCTGAGCAGCTTCAGGTAACTGTGTCCCCGGGTGTCTCTGATAAACCTTCACCAGAGGCCTGTTGAGCTTCTCTCTGGACAGAAGATCGCCGCTGTACTCTGGACCCTGTGAGCAGGACAGCGTGAGCCAAACGTTTTCATGAAATCTCAAATAAACAAGCTCCACACGCTCTCTGACCTGTGCTCTGCCGTGGCTGTGACGAATGCAGTTGATCTCCCTCTGCTTACGAAACATGGCCTGCCGGGTGGCTGCAGACGTCAGCGCCAGATTTTGCTACAGAAGACAGAATGATGGTTAAGTATGTGTTATTACTTTAATACAAAAATGCACTTCTGCATTAATTCAGGATCTTTTTACCTGCAGAGTGACTGTCTCTGCAATTTTTTTCACCAGGCCGTCGTTGACAGCGCAATGAGCAGCTTTCTGCCTGCTGATGGCGCTGGTTAGCGTCCGTCTGATGGTTTCTCTCAGTAGCTGCGACTGGTTGACCCTCAGAGAGGACAACTCTGAAGCCTTTTTACACTCTGCAATAGAAGCAGGAGATATCCTATCTGTCAATTTTAATCCTGAGGACACAGGAGATCTGTTTTAAGATGACCTGCTCTTTCTCTGAGTGTGAGCAGGGACACTGGCTGTGTAGATTAGTGACCACACGCAAAGCAACTAATTCGTTTAATTAAAGATCTGGAGTTTATACTTCTCTGTTTTTAGGATCTTGTTTTGAAAATATATAATTTATGTGTGGTGTAAGAACTGTGCTGTTCTTTTTCTCACTTGTTTCATTGATATTTGGGCAAAATCTGCTCTTATTTCTTATATAATTTCTTAACAAGAGCTTCTCCTTGTCCTGAGTGTACCTGGAGTAAAGGGGCTGATGGGGTCTGTTTTGATAAAGGTCTGAGGTGCAGAGTCATGTCCTCCAGCAGAGCCACTGAGAGGGAGCAGTTCCAGTACTCGAGCCCTCTCACTGGCACAGTCCAGCAGCTGTCTGCTGCTCTCACCCAGGGCCTTAAAGAAGAAGGCAGGAAATAATGCATTAGGACAGCAGCTGGCAGACAAATATATAGGTACGGGTTACTTTGCAGACAGAAAAATGTGGTAAAAAATAACAATAAAAAGTTTCATAAAATAAAATATGTGAGATTTTCAAGTGGGGGGTTTTTTCGACTGAAAATGCAAACCACAAACCAATCGGTTATTTCACAGTGGCTACATGTATCTTTCTGTCTATGTACATTATTCTTGACTCAGGCTAACAGCACCAGTTATACTCTCTGTTCAGTGCGCTTGCTTGACAACAAACAGCCCATCCAGTTCAGGGGCATTCGGGCCTTTAGCTTATCCCAGCCCATAAGGCAAATGGTGGAATAGACCCTGAACATGTCCCCGTCTATCACAGGGCCAACACAGAAAGACCTTCATTCAAGCTCACATTCACACATACAGCCTATTCAGAGTCAACAAGCAGTTCTGCTGTGGGGAAAAGCTGCAGCAGCCTAAAGAAACCCATGCAGGCAATCTTTCAATTCTTCATTCAGCTGGTCGAGGCATCAACAGCCTGGATACGCAGCAGAGTTTCAGTAACCCAGTAAACATAAACATGTTAAGTTTAGCAACCTCAAAGATATATGCTACATGGCTGTTACTTCCTGTTACTCATCCCCTGAAATGCCTGAGCTTTAACTTAAAGGAACAGTTCACCTCAAAAGTGAATTTACATGTTTCCTCTGGCCTGTAGTTCTAACAAACAAGATTGGACAACTCACTCTAAAACAGACACATCACGGTACCATCTTATCAGTGGGTCTATGCCTTTTCCTGAATATAATGCAACCTAATGGCACTCGCCTTTTGGTCTTCAAAGAACCAAAACAAAGGAACTACTTATTTTCTACTATCTACATCCACCAAACTTCTAGTCACAAAACTTCTCACAAGTTTTTTGGATTTTTA